TAGACATGTCATTCCTCCACAACAGTTGAAGTGTTCCCATGGTGTCAGTATGATGATGGTGTTTGTTGTTCTAAGATGACGGTGAAGAAGACCTTGTCGGAGTTCAGGCGTACTCACCACGATAACTGGCAGGAGCACCGGCAGTGCTTCACTGACGACCAGCTGCTGGTGCTCACAGACCTGCTGGTGTCGCCCTGTTACTACGCCTGACTGCCCCCTCAGATCCTCCACACACTGACCCAGCAGAAGAATAACTACAGCTGATGTAGTGTTGGGTTCCTCTGTGCAGCCTGTTCAAATGACGTCAGATGTTGTAGCAGTGGCTGAGGGCCCTGTCTCTGGAATCTCACATGCCAAAGTTGGCCTTGGTATGTGTTGTATTATACAATAGCTCAACATTGAGAATGTCCTGTTGTTTCCTGTGAATAAAGTCACCGCATCATTTGTAACGAGAGATGTTTTTTATTTTAAAGAAGATTGAGCGTGGAATGCTGTGTTCTCCAGGGTTGATTGATCATGTGAAATACCAGCAGCTTGTCGGCGCACATTGATATGACATGCATGTCCACAGCAGATAGCTCTGTACAGAGACAGAGATCAAACACAGATGAGATGTCTCTCCCTGCACGGATGCTTGTTGTGCAGATGCTGCTGTGTTAAAGAGAGACATGATCACAGATAGAGCTGTCATCGTTTTGATTCTGCATGTTGACTTTTTCTGATGCAGTGCTGTTGACTTGACTTTGATATGTTCACTGTGCTGAGACTTGTGCTGGCAGAATGAGAAACACCATGGCTGTTCAGCACAATCTGGAGGAAACAATGTGTGCTTATGTGGCTGTACACTGTGTGATTAAAGTAGTATGATCATTCCAACTGCACAAAAACATGGATCTTATATCACCAAGAGAGATCAGGAAAATGTACCATATACAGCAGGGGCACTCAAACTTTTTTATTAAAGGTCCACTTGTGAACTTTATACAAGGTCACTGGTCCGGATCAATGCCAGTAAAGTACCCCCCCACCCCCCGGAGCGGAGAAACGAAACTGAAATTAAGAAGCAGTTTCTTACGGCGCTCTATGCATGAGGGGGTTTCCCGACATGTCGTTGCAGTAAATTAAAGGGTATTTCATGTTGTCGTTGCTGTGGACCTTCTTAAAGTGGACCTATCATGCTATATTTGAATAATATATTGTAGGACCATACCTATATAAGGCATATTTGAACCTTGGTGATCGCCTCTGATCCATGTTTGTACCAAAGATATACGGCCTTTCCTCCTGTTTCTTTGTTCAGATTGACATCGATCTTGCTGAAGCGTCTTTTATCAAGGTCGTCCTCCTCAGCTGCATTCACGGACACTTGAAGCTCTGAGATGTAGGTGCTCATTGTGGGTTCCTGCATTAAAGAAAGACACATCATGAGTAATCACAATTGTAGTTAACTGAATCTCAATCTGACTTTTCAGCTGAGCTAGATTATAATCCTGACAAATTCAACCATCAGGAGTTACATTTTGAAAACAACAATGACATCTAAAACAAATTCAAATAAAAATGTATACTGCACAGAGTTCTGAAAATTATTGATTACAATGTTTGTGAAATACAAAAAAGATATTACAGCAAGAAAATAAGACCTTATTGAACACTTTCGTGTGTCTGCTGACAGTGAATGATAGGCAGTAAGAAGTCAACTGGTGTGATGAAGTCTGTTGTACTGACCTCAGGTCAACAGAGATGCTAAGGGTCATTGTGCAATCGTACATGGGAGGAGGCATATTCCACGGAAAATGATACTGAATTCATGTGTATGGGTGTGAGTGTTTTTATCAGTTCTGTGGAAGAACATTGAGAAAGAATTATGGTGCAATAAGTAAAAAAAGCAGGAATTTACAACACACACACACACACACACACACACACACACACACACACATACCGTACCAGTCAACAGTTTGGACACAGCTTCTCATTCGAAGGTTTTGATTTATTTAGATTATTTTGTACATTGTAACTACAGCGTCTCCAGCGCTTTCGAACGGCAATGCCGTGGTTGTCTCCTCCTGATTGGTGGAGTTGGCCCAATAGCCGTAGCGCCACCGTCCTGACGTCAGGACAGTGTTCAAATCTGGATCAGTTTTGATCAGATCCGTTGCAGCCCCTTTTTTAGAGATTTGGGTATGGAGGAAAATAGAGAGGGTTGTGTTTTCTGACACTTGGTGAGTTCCCTGGAACACCGGGGACACATATTCATGTATACAAGACGTACAAAAGTGCATTTTGCATGATAGGTCCCCTTTAATCTACCTTCTTTGGGGGCCCGCTTCTGGTCCAAGCACTTGCCTGCCTTGCCTGTCGGCAAACGGCGCCCCTGTATACACACACACATTCAATACATACATACAGTATGGTGGCTTGAACTAGTGGGAGAAATGGCACTGTTTGTCTGTAGCCAATACCTTGAACCTCGGCAAAAAAGGCATTAGAAGCATTAGAAAGTCAAGGTAAACTTGCGGTTAACTTGCGGTCTGCAATGCGTGTCACGCTCGCACACACAAGTAAATATATATGCACGTTCATTCTCACAATGCGTCAGACACAAGACGCGCGTACACAATGATGTACATTAATTGATCAGAATCAGAATAAAAATTTTTAAAGGGCCCATGTCATGGCCATTTCCACTGATCATAATTACATTGTTGAGGTATACTAAAATAGATTTATACTGTGCAATTTTCCAAACTCACATTGGTTTCGCATACAGCATCTCTGTCAAGCATGTGTATTCAGCAGTATTCACTTTCTCCACTAAACGACTCGTTGGAGCTCTTGCCCCCCCCTCCCTGTGAGCCTAGTGTGCTCCGATTGGTCAGCTCGGCCACTCGTTCTTATTAGTCAACCACCAGAGAGGCTGCGCCCATGTCTAACAGTGCTTTTCCCGGCTGCTCTCAGCGTAACATCAGTCTTATCATGGCGTCGGCACAGCCGTATATTTTATATACATATATATTTTTAACTGTTGTTATAGAAGAGTGTGACGGCCCCAGGGCCTTTGTCTTACGATGGGGTGGAGCTGAAGAGGCTAATCAGCACGATCACGGACACCTCCGGACACTACGGCCCCAGTCTCTCTCCAAAGCGGCTGCAGGAAGACTAACTCTGCGATCCTCTCAACCACCTATCTCTCCATTTACCACAATAAATGTGCCGTGGTTTTGTAAACTCGTGTATGTCTCCTTGTCTTTGTGGCCTACGAGCCGCTCATAACAAAGAGTAAGTTATTTTTACCCGTTATAAACTACTACTGTTTGATGAGAAATCAAATCATGGTTTGCTATATATGAATTCAGGGAAGAAAGGATAGGCCTACTAAGTATTTCCATTAAACTTTATTTTTAGAAATGTACAAAATGAACATAAATATACATATATACACGGTATATCATCCATTCCTCCTCCTTGCATCTTGCCTGCGCACAGTCGGTGCGGTGCCTTTTAGCACGACGCCTCAGTAGTAGTAGAAGTGCCTTTTAGCACGTCATGGATTGTCCGCCAGGATCTGGCTGGACGAAATCAAATGCAAATCACAAAATATTAGAGAAACTTAGTTGTTTTAGATTCGTTAGTAGTAGTTGTGTAATGAACAGCTTGCCTGCTAATATGCTAACCTAGCTTTGTTTACCTTGGTAGCTAACACGATATGAACGTTAGCTTGGAGGAAAGGCAACTATAATGCAGTGTAATAAAACTACTATGAACAAAAGCTAGTGGTTCATATTAGGCTAGCAATAACGTGTTTATAATTGCAATCGTATACGGGTATTCTGCTACCATACAATGTAACTTGCATGAATACATTGTTTTGCGCTAGCATACAGCTAGCCTCGTTAGCTACATGCAGTATATGTACGGTCACAATGTACGGTAAATCACAGTACAGTATACTGTATGAGTATTCCGTGTGTGTGAATGCAGACATTCTCCTGCTATGAGATACATGTATGCAAGGCCATCTGCTGATATTAGAGTTCATATATGGAAACTCTAGCAACTTAGTTAGCACAGTTAGCACTGTGTCAATGGCTTAGCAGTCCAACACAGTTTACACATTTAAACAGTCTTGTTTGATAAATACACAAATAACAATGCAAACTTACAGGTTGTATACCCAGATCTTCCCCTGCTCCAAACGGTCCAAACAAGCTGTGCATATCCGGCCTCAAACTGGGCAATGTTTTGGAAGCTTTCGTCTGTGAAATGCCGGTTCTTCGAACCTCTGGAGGAGGAACACGCCGCTGCTGGTGTGGCCATAGCTCTTCGGGATTGGTCCATTTCGTTCCGGGTACCGCATGACATCAGGCGGTACCCGGAACTAAATGGAAGACTCAAATGGGCAGTGACGTATCTCCAACGAGGCGTTTTGGGGAGGTATTTTCTGTGTTAGAGTTTTACTCGCTACAGGGTGTACTTTGAGGGTTTTGACTCTGCACACCGTTTACATGCATAAAAACCTTCATAACACACAAGGGGACGGGTAATAACCGGAAAAGCATGACATGGGAGCTTTAAAAAAAAAGATTTAAAAAAAAAAAAAATTGTTTTAGTTTTTATAATGGGACACAGGGTTCGGTCCGGATTGATTTGCAGTTCGGTCCGGATCCGGACCTTGGTCCGGAGTTTGAGAAGCCCTGATATACAGTATACATAAGCAGCTTAGACAAGATACTCTGGAAAGTTCTCTGGGCTTGACTGATACGCTTTCCCAAGCCTAATATTGAATATGGTTTTAGCTAACTTAAAAAAAACGATCATAATTTGTCTGGGAAATCTTTCTTTCTTTACAGTGTAATTTTAATAATCTAAATAGCCCTTTACAATCATAAATCGGCATTATCAAAACGTGGTTACATCAGTTGTAGATATTTGTCATGAGATTTTTGTCTCTGTTGTTTTTATAAAGTGGCACAACAATCATATACTGGAAAGTCATGCACTGCTTTGGGTTCTTTAATGAATTACGTCCATTCTATATTTCACCGAGCAGTTAACGTGTAAATCACATTTTTATGTTTTAAAATGCACACAATCAGACAAAATGTATGTGTATGTAAATATATCTCCTTAAATATATTCGTCATTTTCATTAACTTCAAAGGATCTCCATAAACATTCATTCATCTTGTAACGTTTGGAATGGAAGGAGTCATCGTACGTGTAGTCAAGCTTATTCAAAGATGATTTAGTGGCCCAGCATATTTCAATACATTTTATTAGCAATGTAAGGTGTTTTTTCTGAATATTCTTTGACAGTATTGTGACATTGTAGTGTAACAATAAAAACAGACTTTGCAACACATTTTCTGTACCCAACAAATATCCTTATCTGTTTTTAAACCCTGAGAGTTTTAAAAATATCATCAAAATTAACCTGTTTGAGTGTGTGAGTGTTTCTGCACACTGTGTAGTCTTTCTCTCACTAAAGTTTCTAGAGAAAACAGGTGTGTGTCTGAATCCTCTGGCAGGATTGTCCTCATAGCATCAGCTAGCTGAAACAGGTACTCCGTGTTCTTCCCACTTGGACCGGTAGAGCTGACAATCTGATTGGCTATCTCCTCCAGGGGGGCGGGGCCGAGGTAGTCTGGATTGTCCTGAGAGCCGATGTAGAGCAGCGTCTGGCTGGGCGGCGCAGAGAGTGGTGGACGGGGGTGAAAAGTAACAGTGATGACCTGATAACCACCTTTTTCTCGGTAGTCAAGGTAACTCTTCACTTCCTGCTCCCGGCCGGTCGGTAGCTTGTAGGCAACGCCCCAAACACACCCCTGAAGAAGAGTCGAAGAAGAAAAAAATATTGATTGGCATATATAAAAAAGAATGAAGTGTAGCCACATTTAACAAATTTGATAGTATGACATTTTTTCAAACAAAGGTGACCGAATTCACAGGCTCAAGCTTTTAAATGACTTCTATGATGATAGTAAACTGACCATCTTATAAAGTTGGTCTGAAAAAACAATCAATTTGAATTTAAACTTTGACCTTAGGAAACTCTTAAAAGCATGTGTCGCTTTTATCTGACAATTCATAGACCAGGCTATTAATTAAATATTAATCAAGAAAAAAGACTGCAGAATAATACAATATAAAGATTAGTTGGTTACAACCTTTAGTAAAACAGTTTTTATTGGCATAATATTTTTATCACAACCTGTTTCTTCCATAGAATGATGAATTTGACCTTAAGATAGTCATCAGTCTACTCTAAATGCATGTTTTAGTAGATGCTTACCATGGTGTTACTACATTACACACTCTGTATCTCTCAATCTCTTTCCCATCAACTGCGAAAAATTATCTCTTGGTCAAGGTCGGAAAATAATACACTGTCCTTTCTTTTGATGAAAAATGCCATCTCCTTTCACTGCCATTCAGCGTGTTCAGCTTTGCACCACATAATGCATGTTTGCAAATAAATAAATATCCATAAAACTTTGACAGTCCACTGTTTCTTCTATACAGTTTGATAAAAACAGGAGGTAAGTGACTGCAACTTAAAAAAGTGAAACCCCATTTTAAAAAGTTTGCTGTTTTTGAAGATGCACTGCAAGTTTGCTGGCCCACACGCTGCATGTTTTCTTTTAATTATACTTAATAACACCGCAGTAATTACGATCCTCAGATGGTGATATATTTTATTACTGTTTAATTAACATGAGATTGTGTTTGCTTTTCCCCTTAACCTGACTAATCTTTTGATGAAAACATCATAATCATATTAACTATGTCAAATGTAATTCATGTAATATAGATGTATGCCACTTTTAGAATGATTAATACTATTAACATTTGTTTTATTAGTTAGTTGATGCTATAAAAGGGTAAAGAGATTATGATTGAAAGCTTTAATTGATAGCTGCTCTGAGTGAACGTATGGTAGGGTCACTTTAAACTTCCATAAATTGATAATCTGTTCCAAGTGTACTGTATATCAAAAACCAATTTTCTTATCAGGCAAAGATGATTGCTAACCGTTTGCCGGTCCAACTCCAATGTGACTACTTTCTGCCATTCTCTGCTTTGTGTTATTGCAAACTGACTGATTGCTTTTTGGAGTGTTGCTCTGACATAACAAGTCATCATGAACTCTGAGATAGTAGACATTTTCCTCCATTTTCTAGACAAAACACTTAATCGAGAAAGTAATTGGCAAAGTAATAGACAGTGAAATGAATCATTAGTTGCAACTCTATTACAGAGGAATGTATGGTACCATTACGTTTAGGAATGGTTGCTCTTACCTCAGGATCCTCCACCAGTGTCACCACCCGGCCAGGCTGTAAAGGACACACACAGAGGAGCAAGCACTTTAAAACAGCAGCAAAATCACATGAGCAATCATATGACATATGTATACAACTTCACAGACAAAGGTACCTGTATAGTTCAAAAGAAATCTCATTTAAAATATTCAACAAATAACAAAATATAAAGTTAGACCTGAGTAACAACAGCACAATGAGCTGCTGTTTGAGGTCTAACTCATTTTAAAATATGAAAATCTCAATGACCTTAATGACAATATCCTAAAAACGTTACTTCAGTAACTTAGAATGAGTAGTTAAGGCAATATAACCGGCTAAATGTCCTGTGTTTTTACAGTATTAACAATGTCGACACTGACAAATATGCAGTCATAACTTTGAATATGAATTCATGAGTTACCGGTAACCAATAACCTTTCTGTAATGTATCCCATTATTAGACATTAAGAGGGTTTCTTTCATTTCTGCTTTGGCTTTTTTGATAATACATCATTGAAGCCGACAGACATGGCAACATTGCATCAGTTATTTTGACTAGAAAAAGCTCTATATGGTTCCGAAAGACTCACCTTACCCGGTATCCCCCGGTGATCGGTACTTCCCTGCCAAAACCGACGACTGAAGCCTTTTATGTAGCCAATTGTCTTTTCCTCATAAGGGAAATCCACTTTCCATATAAGAGACCCGTAGCCAAAAACCCACATAATAAGATCTTAAGATAACAGTCACTGCGAGGACAATATGTACGGCTTAAGCTGAGCCAACTGCCAACGTTGTAGTCCGGAGGCTACAACGAAGTCATAACGTTATAATAATTGAAGTGTACGCCCTCAAAGTGTAGTGTTAGCTATTTTCAATAGCTATTAAATGTATAATGTGTCATATAAAGTAGTAACGCCCGCTTATTCAATATATGACCCCGGGCTATTTTGTCAAGTCATCTGCGTTACGTAATTCAACATACTTCCGCTGAATAACTTTCAGTATAAAGCGAACATTACGATCATGTTGTTATTTTTTTAAACATTAACTAATTTAAGAGGTCGTCGGCAGCTTACCGCATAGCCAAGATACCTTTTTTGTGGCATTTAGTTTTTGCACGCTATTTCGTCTCTTTTTTAGCATGCCTTAAGAACGTCTTGCTTTTATTTTGAAGGCCAGCCGCCATTCCGGATGTTTGTACCTATTTCAGTATACAATCTAATTTGGACCAACCTTGTCAAAGCAGTCCATGTGTCAAACCAATAACAACTAAAATACCTTTATCAATCTAATCCACACATGTTTTTGTATGCCTTTTACAAGTAAGCCAAATAACTATACAGTTACGGTATGCCATCTTCTTTACCAAATAGGGCTGTATACATATTTGCCTTTTTCATATGTTGTATACTTGTATTTTACTTTATTTTATGTTTGGGACAGTAAAACATTTTTTATGTAAAATATGCTAACCAGACAATCCATACATATTCTTGCCAGCCACTTAATTTTGTGTTACCAGGGGGGCTCCGTACTATTGCCTTTATTTATGTAATTAAAAAGTAATAACACATCAAAAGAAAATGTAGCTGACACTTTATTGAATTGCTGGCTTCTAAATTTCAATCATTTCCAATAAAGTATGAAATATCTTAGCTGAAAAGTTTAAATAATATATAATTAAAGTTGGTGATCTATTGATATATTTGGTATGATAAAGAGACTACAGTAGGATAAGAATACAGACTTTACAACTGCATTGAAAGCAAGGAGGCTTAGCCCTACAGTACCTTATTTGAGATGATACTCTTACTCTAAGACTATTTAGAATGGGGGGGGGGGGGGGGGGGGGGGGGGGGGGGGTGAAAGAGCACCGTAGACAATGGTCATCATTTTTATGAGCTTGAATGAACTATTGATCGATGCTTTCGCAAAGTCCTGCATCTTTCTTATAGGCTACCTTTCATACTGTATGCACACATTCATATGTATGTTCAATTGATGACCACTTGTGCTTTGTGTACATTGGTAAAATCCATGAACTGGGAAACACAGGAAATATAGCTTGATGTCTGGACACCAGGGGGAGGTGCCTGAGTTTCTATTTCCCTCAGTGTTTTTAATTGTGTGTGTTCTCCAAATAACATGCTCCTCATGTAGCCCGCTGTGAGCACTGATTCAGAACCAAAACAAAGTGGGACAGCTACAGCCTGGCCTGTAATGTCAGCTCCATGAACAGCAGCCGTGCTCATTCCTCTGCCTCGGAGAGAAGCTTGTCAGCAAATATTTTATGTAACCTACCAGCCTTGCGTTTAGAGAGGCCGGTTTGTGGTTGAAATCCACAGCTGGACTGAAAAATGCTGCTGAGGAAACATCAGCCATAAAGATACCGTTATTCAAGACATTCAAACCAAGTCTGGTGCAGTGGAGCTAGTCACTAGAGATCTCCTCTGAGGTGGGAATATGGGTAAATGTGTGCATAAATAAACATAAAAATAATGTCATAGCACTTCCAGTAATTACAAGCAGCATTTTCCCTGCTGTGAAAAATACGAGCTATTTAAAGTGACTATAAAATGCTACAGAGCTACACAGAAGTGTTTTCACATGCTTAATCCTGCTCCAAATACCTTAAACTGTACGTACACATAACTTTAATCTCATCTATTTGTGCACAATACAAAGATAAAAAGTGATAGAGATACAAAGAAAAGTGTGCATATTTTAGCAGCATGCAGCGTTTCAAGCAAACAAAAAATGAAGGCAGATATAAACAGTCCCCTTTACAGTTTATTTGTTTTCTAAGAAAAGGAGCTTTTTTTGTTGTAGAAACATTCAGTATCTACTAAGTGAATTTGGCAAATCTATTACAAAAAAAAAAGGAAAACAAAGAGGTTGCAGTAACTATGAAGATAATCGAGAGGGATAAATGGAATAGAATGTGGAAAACATTTTGTCAGTAAGAAAAGCATTGTATGTTAAACACTATAATCTGAAGCCTTCAATTTTAAAATTGACCATTAGAAATACAAATAAAAGAATCCATATTATAATCCAATATTTATTCATGATGCTATCAAAAAGTCATAATTGCCAAACAACGAGTCAGTGTAAACATCTCAGTTGTTCTCCCAATCTTCATACATGTTACGTAAACTTTGCTTCTCATAAGCCTTCTTCCTCTCTGACAAACGTCTCAGTTCCTGTCTCTTTTCCCTTTGCTCCACCTCTCTCTTTGTTCCTTCTCCAACTCCAGAGCTTTCGCTAAACCTTCTTATTCTCTTGCTGCAAAGTATTATGTTGATACATTGGGGAGCTGACCAAGAAAGAGACTTACTTTCACATGTTCCTTATTTGTACTGGTTTCTTCATTTACAAAAGTCTGCATTTTACTTGAAAAAAACATCTAATTTGATTTAATTGTAGTAGATTTGCAATAGCTTACACTAGACCTGCTCCGTGTGCCCTCCACTGGCTAGCTTTTCAAGCATGAGGAGTGGAAAAGGAGTCGAGTGTGTAATCCTCGCAGGCTATGTACTGGCAGGGGTTCTCCAGCACCAAGACTCCTGCAATGCCTCCCCACAGCGAAACTGGGTATCATGCAGTCCCAGGCTGAACTGCAAGGGTATCTCAAAATAGCAGTTGGCTCCAGAAGTGTGTCTCAAAGGCCCACCAGTGAGTGGATACGCCCCTGACTCGCCAACCACTGCCCCACCTAAGGGTCACCATCAAACCCTGATGGTAAAACGCGGTCTGGACTCAATGAGGCAGTTCAATGATTTGAATCATTGTTCTGGCAAGTCAGTGGTTGGATCATGCCAGGGAGGACAAGAGGGAAACCCTGCTGCCTGGGCAACACAGGGCCTGCATACACTTAGCCCAGGCTTCTTATGCCCTGGAGAGGAGATTCCAAGGTGGGAGAGACACCCACATTTTACTACACAGCTCCTGCCTGCCTCAAAACTGGGCCCCTAGCTGAATACACACTGTAACGGGCAACATTTATTGTGTTGTGATTGCATATAATGTGCACCAAGGATCTCTGTTGGCAAAACCTCAGGTCGTTTAACATTCACCCTGTCACCTGAAAACATGGCGTTGACTGTCTTCATCACCACAGCCTACAGGCAGCAGCTGAGGACAAGTGAACCTGTCTTTGAGAGTACGCGCTAAAAACTCACAGAGATAAGAAATGCATAGTTCCACAAGAATGTGGATTCACTGCGTTCATTCTTCATGGCTGAATGGAGCTGTTAATATCCAGAACATCTTTTATGTATTTTTGTTTCAGCTAAACTTGAAGGCCATATGGAGGGTTCGATTTTCCTTCCATCAGGTAAGTCTTTCTTATTGCTCAAACACGTGACCACTGCTGATGGCTTGTGCTAGCACATACTTATCAAATCTATCATCATTTGGCTTAGGGGAACTATTTATAACAAATAATAATATCCTGAATTGATTGATTTACCACCTCCACAGGAAAGTATAACTTAGACAAGATAAGTATAGGTAACTAAATATCCAAACATTTACAAAAAACAGTTCCTCTCTGGTTGAGCTTTGAAAATAGATTTGTTCAGTTTGCAAAAATTCTTTTTTTTGCACCAACCACCTGCATGATCTTCTAACTAACTTCCGATATTTAGCGGTTTTCCTGCAGCGATTCAGGTCTTCAAAACCCATCCAAAAGTCTCCTCCATACTGACTCACTCAGGCAGTGGTGGTTGCACACAAAACAAACTCTTGAACCTCTGACTCCATCTCAGCAGCCTTAGTGAGGAATTGGCAAGCCGAGTCATAAAAGTCCACTGTATGTAGAGAGCAGAGTTGAGTGGGCCATTTTGGGATGTGAGGCCTCAGACTGTTTGATCCTGAACTGCTCATATGACTCCTGAGGTTTCTCTTGTGGGCTCTTTGAATGCAGCCACATCCATCAGCACTGTTGTACTTGCCTGAGAATTGCTATTCTGGGTATTACAACTAATAATGATGATGTGGAAGACAGTAAGATAATAAAGTCATTATGTGCTAGTCGATATTATCTATTTTGACTCAGTTTTTACACTGAGACTGCAAGAACATCATTTGTAAAAATGTTGGACCAGGACAAGCATTGACTAATGATACTATTTGAATTATGTTCACATTGGTATGACTGATATTGTCCCTCCGTCTTCAAACAGGATGTAACAATGAAAATGATAATACAATAGATGGTTTCATATATATCAATGCTTTGTCGTAGCAGCAACAAAAGCCAAACATCTGTAGGCCATGTGATGATAGACTTTTGTACATTTTCAGAAATGTAGTTTTTTAAGTTTCTGCCAAAAAAACACTCAAGACAAAAGCTGTTACTTCACTTGGAAAAGTTATTTAGACTGAAAAAGTGACAAAAAAATGAAAAGCTCATTCGATGTGGACTCTAGTATATTTGATTTTCTGCAACACTAGGAATAAAGAAATATTCTTTATTTTTAATTTTTAAAGGAGACTTTTTATACACCTAAATTGGATTACTACTGATCTTAATTTGTTCTAAAATAATGAACCGCAGGCTACATTTCCTCATTGACTGATATCAAATATTAAAACCTCTTTCAGCTATGGAGTTGAACAATTTAATAATAATTTAATAACTTTTAATTTCTTAAACTAGATAAATTAAATTGGGGTCATTGGAACTTTTGAAAACGTTTACAATCATCCAACATGTATTGTCAATGCACATGTGGTGAGTAACTCAAAGATAAATTCCTCACTTTGAATTGACATTGCTGAAGGGATTTGAGATATTTCCCCAGAAAATGTGTATAAATAAGGCTTAAGTCCAGTTGCTGCAATAGAGATTAATACTCTTAAGCTTCCTCAAACTAAACCAACGTCTATATAACTCTATCAGCATGTTTGAGGGATAGTTTATAGTGTGTTATAGCAGAATATG